CAGACACTTTACTTTGCACGAACAGGTACACTGCCTGCACGTACAGACACACTCTTACCCAAACAGACATGACATACACATCTCCTGGTGAACAGGTAAGTCTTTTGACAATGCCCTTTGCCTTAGCTTTAGATATGCCTGTTGATAGAGAACTTGACCTTTGACCTGCTTTCACGTTTCTGAGCTCTGGCGAGATACCTTTTCAAAATGCTTTACCTTTTCAAGGCCCATACTGCTTTATTTTTACAAGGCCTGAGGCCTATATCAGGTAAAGGCCCTTTTACTACCGATGAAAGAGCTTTACAAGATAAATCCCGTTTTCACTCACGCGATATTGCTGAATCAGGCTTTCGCCCATTGTCCAAGATTCCTTGAAAGCGACCAACCTCGATGATCCTTTTTGGTAGTAGTTTCGGAGTTGGAGCACCCACTTCATGGCTTCATTCAAGCATACCACATTGTTCAATATGTATCTGCCCGGAATGAAGCCAGTTTGGTCTATGTGGAAACACTTGGCTGTGATATTCCTTATGTGATTGGGTAAAGTCTTGGCTAGTATTTTGTAAGCTACCGATAGCAGAGTGATGGGTTTGTAGTTCCTGATGTCCTCTCTTTCTCCTTCTTATATAGAAGAGCGACCACTCCTGTGCTAGGATCCCTTTTGAAAAGCTTCTTGGAAGAACTTAAAAAGGTCCTCTCCCATTAGTTTCCAATTCTCTACCCAGAATTCCTTGGTCAGCCATCTCTCCTGGGGACTTTATTTGGCTGCATGATTCTCAGTGCTTCGTAAAGTTCTTCTTTTGTGAGGTCCCTGCCAAGTGACTTCACCGCCTCTGGCTTTATGCATACATCCATGTGCTTTAAGAACTTTTATCTTGCTCTGGCTATCTCTGAGTGGTTGAAACTGCTGCCCTCGAGGTATATAGAGTTTGGTAGAAATCTGTGGCCCATTTAAGGATGCCTGTTTTGGTGGTGAGCATTGTGCGTAGGTTGTTTTTCAGTCCGAGGATTCTGCTGTTCCTGCAATTTGACTTGATTTTTTGGAAAAAAATACCTGGACATAGTCTCATTACTTTCCCAGTCTTTTACTCTAAGCTCTTATGGCTAATCCTTGCCTATTCCAGTCTGCCCATTTAATAAGCTCTTCTCTTGCTTGTTCATGTAAGTTTTCATACATAAGTGAACCTGGATTATCTATGAGGTTAAATTTTGCTGTTTCCACTATTGCCTCTACCATCTCTTGCATGGCTTTTCTCTTTTTAGCTTCTAAGCGTTATGCCCTATTTAGCCAATTACTAACTCCTAGTATGGCTTTAGGGAGGGTTTTTAGAATTCCTAAATTATCTACTTCTTGCCTATGTTTTTCCCAGACTTTGCTTGACCCCTCTTTTGAAATGTTCCAGGGTAATCAAGGAGTTGTTGAGTTTGAAAACGCTTTCACCCGGGACATTATTTAGCGAGAACGTTAGATGTAGCACTGTCAAAACCTCCATAGTAAGGAACGTAAATATTATTGCTCTTTCAGCTGCTACTTGTAAAGATTCTGATATGAGGAAGTAGTCTATTCTCGAGAAAGAGGTTCTTCCTTGGGTTGATTTTCGAATGCAGGTGATATCCATCATTGTTGTGTTTAACCATAGCTACGCCGGACCGGACTCCGGACCGAATCCGGGCCCCGGACCCCAGACTTCCCGGRGACATCCGGACTTCCGGAAACCTGGAATATTCCGGAATATCCGGACCGGTCCGGAACCCCTGTCCGGATGCCTGTCCGGAACCCTTGTATTTTCCGGGAAAAAAAAAAAAAAAAAAAAAAAAAAAAAAACTGTGGGGGGAATGCTGATCTCAGGTCTGCATCTCAACAGTTCATGGGTGTGCAACAGAGGGCTGAATTATGCCGTTGGGCCGCATGGGCTATATCACCGGCCCCAGGTAATTCAGAATTATTTCATTCTGGTCATCTGATTGTATCTGGATTTGAACTTGGGTCTGTATTGCAACAGGTCGTGGGTGTGCAAAGTGGGCTAGGCCTGTTGGAATGCCGTTGGCTTTTTGCCAACGGTCACGTGAAAAAACCAACGTGTGAAAAATAGGCAAAAAAAAGAACTTAGAGAACCCGCCAAGTGGCGGGCAGAGGGAAACGTGGAACAGAAAGTCCCTCCCCCTCCTGTTGCAGGGGCCTCTTCTGATGGCCCTTTTTTTCTTTCTTAAAATGGCATATTCGGTTTTGTTTTTCTTTCTTTTTTTCTTGTTTGTCGTTTGCTGAAATGCACAAAGCATGCAATCCTGGGCAGGTGCGCTCGCGTTGAAAGGGCAAGCCATGCCAATCTGCCAAAAACAAGGAAAAAAAAACAACAGAAAAACGRAAAAAAATTGGTCCGTTGGAGAGCGGCATTACAGCTCGGCTCCACTACTCACCATATGCACAAAAGACAGAAAATGTCGTGGTGTATCTTTCCATGTTGTTGCAGAAGATTCATTTTAATTTTGCACTTGGTGAGTAGTGCAGCCAGGCCCAAAGCCCCAGAGTCGTCGCAGGCGTCCGTTCGGACAGGTGCTGTTTTTTTTGTTTTTTTTTTTCCGCTGTTTTCTTTTTGAAAGTTGGATCTTTTTTCGTTTTCTTTTCAGACTTTCTTCGTTTTGGGGGGCAACGTGGGGGGAAATGTAGTAACGTACGAAGCAGCCTATCCTGGGAAGATACGGGCGCTTCTGATAGTAGGGCGGGAAAAGAAAACTTAGGGCCTCCGTCCGGCCCTGTCTGGATGGCACATCTAAATCTTAAAAAAACGCCCAGCATTTTTCCACAGCGGCCCAAAATGGAAGAAAACGACCTGGGCCGCCTGAAAAAAATTTGGGCTACCCCCCATTTTCCCACCATCCGGACCAGGATCCGGAAACCTGGACCGGACGCCGGACACCGGTCAGTCCGGATCCCTGTCCGGCTGTCCGGATCGTAGCTATGGGTTTAACATTCTGTACGGGTCTTTTAGGTTTTTTCCTGTAGTGAATTCCAGCCTTATATGGGCCTCAGATTCTTCTAAAGTTTCTCTAGCGTGATAAATCCTGGTTCTAAAGTGGTGTTCCAGTCTCTTGCTAGAATTAGATGTCTGTGATTGGGGCATTCTTGTCAGGCTCTTCTCTGTGAGTTCGTATTTGGTGCATATATGTTGATTATAGATAGCTCTTCAGCTCTGAAGGAGAAGTCTATCTTTGTCCATCGGCCTTCTTGTTCATCCTATAGAGGAACCGTCTATTACAAGGAATTGTGAGTACCCCTGCTGACGCCGCATTTGGACTAGCCGCCCATTCTGCATGCTTGATGTGCCTTTATCTTCTTAGGATTTCCTCTGTTGTAGATAGATGTGTTTCTTGGATCCATAGGATATCTGGAGGTATTGTCCAGCCATGCTGTCATATCCACGAAACTGTGCCACTTTGAAGGTGTTGACTCTGTTGAGAGGATAGTTGCTAACCCTCGCTAACCCTCTTACATTCCACAATCTGGTTTCCAACTCCCTTCTACCTCTCTGTTATTTGCCCTTGGATCCCTGACCACTGGATTGGCGTTAGGGAATTTGTGTACTTGTAAACTTTTATGGAAAAATCTGGAAAGAAAAATGGCTAAGGTTTTTTCTGGTAAGCTTGAACCCACAGCAAACTTGGGTGCTAGCCTGTAGGATAAGCGGCAGGTATATTGTGCACGAGGATGGAGTGGAAGCTGATTGGAAGTCATTGTTGTCCTTCCAAGAAAGGGGCAAGTGGACAGAGATATATTCCAGGGAAACAAAGGAGAAGAATCACTGTTCTGATGGGATTTGGAACTCCACAGTTCCGAGGTGCTTCTGGAATTGTAGGGAGAGGAGCTAGAGTAGGAGGAAGACCCCAGGCTCAGGTGTAGCTTGCTGGCTACACTGGATTATTTCTCCATGTCTGATCTTCAAGGGAGCTTGATCCAGGACTTCACCAAGGGATTACTACATTGCACTTAAGGACAGCAGAACAGCAAGGTAACGGTAAGGTGCAATAACTCTTGGCACTTGATGTCTTAAGGGTTAGGTGGCTCGTGGGTGAGGAAGACACACTTTTGACACTGATATTGTTTGGTGCAGTGAAACCATTTTAGAGAATTGGAGACGAGGGAGGGAGGGACGGCGGACAGAGCGTGAACGAATTTGGAGTACACTGTTTCATCACTGAGCTGGGACTGACAGATATCACCTCGGTGTGGGACTGCAGGGCTTTCATTGTGACAATAACTAACGTGTTTTGTGTTTTGAACTGTTTTCCTATTCTTGGCATGCAGAAACTTTCCTCCAGAAAATTATAGAGGAGTGCAAAGTAAGGTGGCTCCGACCAGCCGAAGTGCAGTTCATTCTCGAAAATTACAAGCAGCTCAACCTCGACGTTCGCGTACAACCTGTCAAAGAACCAGAAAGTGAGTGCGGAAATCCTGAGCAGTCACCACTTCCTCAGTAAAGCTTCAGATCTTCAGATTTTTTGAAGTCGAACTTCAAGGCTACAGTCTTCCCCCGAACAAAACGCACGTATGTACCATAGTTGCGGCGCACCTATGCGCTGCGCCCCCCCCAGCAGTGTGCGCACTGATGCGCGATGCGCGCGCATTGATGCGGGATGCGCTATGCGTGGTGCGCTGCGCCGCACTTCAACGCGCTGTGCGCCAGTGCACTGGGGGGTGCGCAGGGCGAGCGCATTGGTGTGCATGCTGCGCACATCAATTTGTATTTATTTATTTATTTTGGGGGGGGAGGCATCAGGCCTGTGCCCCTTCTTCGCGTCCTTCCCGGTGCCCATGCCCCTGCTTCATGCCTCTTGAGCTGTGGAATTACCACCTTCCGCTGGGCCATTTTTCCTGCGCACATACAGTCCATCAACAGCCCTTTCGTCAGCCCCTTCTGTCGCTCTTGGATTACCCCCCAATGTACCCCCTCCAAACCCCCC